CAATCCCAGCTTCGGTCGCTGGGATTTTTCTGAAGCAAAAAAAAATGTCTGGTCACGTTAGTAGGGGAAGCAAAGCCGTTAGTCCCGGCCCTTGTGTGTTTGAATGGATGCGATATCCTATGCAGGTGTAGAAGCTGCCTTCTTGCATATTCGATTGCCGTCAATGGATGGCAATCGATGCCCGTCGGTGATTGGCACTAGATTACGGAACAGAAACCGACGTTAAAATAATGGAATGAACATTTTTTTATCATCCTCATTTTTAAAAAAAGGACATGACAACGAATACCGAACAGTTTTGTATGTGATCATGAAAAATACTTATTATTATGATTATGATTATTATTATTGGTATCTCTATTCTTTTTTCATCAAAATTTGCCTCCCCCACTGTCTATGTTGAGAGAATTGATGCTATTCCATGATGCACCTAAGGCTCCCTTGAGACTCACCAACCCATATTGTTTTTCAGGACATTGTTTAAAACTCCATTGCCAGTAGATTTTTGTTTTATTTTCCGTACTGAGCACCAATGCTACCAACGCCAGGGAGGCAGCTCCCACACCTGGACCTTACCTATCGACCCATCAACTCATTGACCGGGGACCAACTTCCCCCTCTCAGAAAATTCCAGTTTTTATGCCTCAGAAAATCTCGCCGACGCCGACTGGGACTGAGCCCAGGCCCATTGGGGTAAGAGGAAATCACGCTTACCACTACACCACAGGTGACAGTAGATCTTCAAGAACTAAACTTCAGAATAGTTTGGAAGGCGTTTAATATAGTATTTAAACAATTCGATGATGTACATGTTGTTAGGGGCTCTCTTCAACTTAACGGACGCATACATAAATTCATAATATTGTTCAAGACTTCATTTAACCTGTTAAACTTCAAGATCTCAACTCCAGAATAGGTTGGAGAGCATTACCATTCCATGATGCATTTAGGGTGAAACGTAATCACGCTTACTACTACACCACCGGCACCGCTACATTAAAGATGTTGATCACCAGGAGCATTTTGAATTTAAATTCCCTTAAGAATCATATTCTCTTTTTATAATGTGCTTATATCATACACAAATTTCAAGTTAAAACAAAATATGAAAAGATTTTCTTCCAGGAACAATTTTGTTAAAAGTTTCTCCATTCAACTACCTTTTTTTTTCTTATGTGTTAAAGGCTCTTTAGGAAAAATAGGATAAAACTCGTACGTTCACACGGTTAGTTAACTGCATTTTGAATTTTGATTGTGATTTTATTTAAAAAAAAATTAGAATTTAAGCGTGCATATTTTTTCACATACAATTTCGTTCAAAACATCGGTTTTCATAGTTTTTTTTAATGCATAGGGTAATTTTCCAATTGTTGCACACCACCCAATTTTTGCACACTTCACATTGTTTACTGTGCAGCATTTATCCCTGACATAAAGTTTTCCAATCATGGTGGCATTCTAATAAGTGATCAATTGTTGAATGATAAAACATATTTTTTTGGGGCTGTGTCATTTCACCGAAGGAAGTTACCGAAAGACGTTTTGTCGACATTTTGACTAAAGACATTTCACCGAATGGCTCACTTCGCCGAATGGGTCATTACTAAAATGTAATACATTGATTGTACATTTGATACATTTCTAAAAATGTAATAGGGGGAATAGATGTAATGTTGGCCTAAATGCCCCTAATCAGCAATCGACTAAATATTCAATAGTGACCAAAAATATTCATAAGTACCGTCTCAATGACGCATTCATCTAGATAAAATTGATATATAGCAGATTTTTAGCGATGGGCCCAATCTTAGATCCAAAGTCCAACATTAGAGCCATTTTCCCTACATTAATTGTTTGAAAATTATTGAAATCAGTATAACTCGAAACAACTCCTCATGTTAAAAAGAAGGAAGCAATTCTATAAAAAATATTATTTAAAAATCAGTTCAACTTGAATGAAGTACACATGTTTTAAAGAAGGAAGCATTCCTATAAATCAAAAATATTGATCATTTAAAAATTTCTGAATTCAGCACAACATGAAAAAACTGGTCATGTTTAAAAGAAGAAAACCTACAAATGTAAAAAAATTGATTATTTAAAATTTTCCTAAATCAGTACAACTTAAAAGACCGGAAACATGCTCAAAAGAAGGGCGCATTACATTTGAATAGCTTGCCAGGTTGGAAAAATTGATCCTTCTCAATCTTTTGTCGAGACTGATTTCAAAATTTACTGAGCTTTGAGAAAAGTTCAAAACCGTTGGCTTGCTCTTTGGTGAAATGACCAATTCGGCGAAATGACCTACGGCGAAATGACCTTCGGCGAATTAACCTAAGACAAAACGTCCTTCAGTGAAATGTCCGGCTTTCTATGTTTTTGATACTCAGTATTAGAAATATTGTTATAAAAAATGTATTAGAAATATTGTTATAAAAAATATTTTTGACATTGTTCATATTATTTCAGGCGATTTCTTAATTTTTGTGATAATAATCCTCAGTTATAAAATAAGCTATTACAAGCTCAAAATTAAAATGAATTAAGTAATCTTTAAAGAAAAATGTTAGTTATCCTTTTATCAACGATCAAATGCTATACACATATCAAACTTGTAAAATTTTCGGAAAAAATATTAATGGTCAACAATAGGATCACATTTCAAGAACAACACGAGAAAAGGGCATACAAGCTTTTTTCTTTTTTTTTTCATTGGCTCTTGATTTGGACTCTTCCTGGATTATTGTCCATGGTGATAACGCCTGAAGGTATGTAACGTTTCATATAAAACAGCTGCTGCGTATATTTTGCTTCGCAGCAATTACATTACTGAAATAGCTGATATCGTAGGTAATATCGAAAACTTTTGTTTAACCATCTAACAGAATCAATTAATGATTATTCTTGCTGAAAAATGTCATTCAAAAGGTGCAATAATAGAACTTCATAGTAAATTATGCGTACAACAATTGGACTCTGAGAGACATTCACAAGTTTTATTATACAAAATGATTTTACCAATTTAAATTGCTGATCTGCTCTGTAAATTCTTCATGAATCACATTCAAAGGATTCTTGAGGAATTTCTACTTCAAAAACGGTTTCAATCTCTTAAAAATGCAAAGTAACAAAAAGTACGTGCCTAGTTGTGCATCAATTGGCAAATTACCCTGCATGAAACCACATACGTTATTTTGAAGGATTGTCCTAAGTTGAAATTGTCTCCTGACCTGTGGAAAAAACATAATCTTCCAGATCAAAGACATGTGAAAAGTTGCATTCAAATCGGAGAGGTTCGTGCAAGATTTTGACTTTTTCTGGAAGATTTGTCACTGAAGGGCTCCTTACTAAAAGATAACCACCCTTCACGTTCAGATAAATTTTACCACACTTCTTTGTAGTTCTTACAAATTTCGATCAGATTATCAATCTTTACTAAATCGAGCCGAATTTTTATTAAAACTGAAACGCACTCAATTGCCAAACCATGAAACGATGATCCTATCGTAAATTATTTGCCCGGAAACACTTTCCGCGAAGTTCACTGTTTATGGCTATCAGAGTAACCCTTTTGGGTGCACTTACCACGTTCAAATTTTATTACTTTACAGCTACCAGGGTCGCTGTGAAATTTTCTCACATCCTGCGTTTACGTAACATGGAATATAGCAAGCGACAAACGACTCTGCCTCGAAATAGCCACATTAAAATGTGTCGTACAAATTTAATAGTCAACACTGAGGCGAGGATGAAAAAATCTGATCATCAACAATGATTGGTCGCATTTTCATTACGCCGTAGCTCCCATTGTTGAACGTATTCCCTTAGAGTAGATAACGCCAAAATTGCTGGAAGCTACGTATTTTGAAAAACAAGCAAAGCAATGCATATTTCACATCGTGCATTAAGAGCAGCGGTCGGTCGATCATTTACCCACTTATTGGGAAAATCTTATTATGGGCTGTCATCTCCGATCAATTTATTTCCAATCCCATATTACGTCATCATATCCTAGGTCGTTGCTATCTGGATTGAATCCAATTTCAAATAGATATCGCTGTTCCAGTAGCAGTAACACGTAACTCAATCATACATCCGATCAGCCCATGTTTTAGTGCAATGCTAATATAATCTTCTTTTCCATGGTTTATGTCAGTGGTTCTCAAACGTTTTGATGTAATGGAGCACTTTAACTATTTCCATTTTTCCACGGTGCACTTGCAATGGAGATCCTAGGTGTATGTTTCTGAGCAATTCCAGACAAAAAAAATAAATTCAGACTCGGCCCTCTCCGATTTCCATGAAACTTTTCATAACGATGGGCGAACATTTTGACTACCTCCACAATTTTGGGAAAGCCATATACGAAAAAAAGCTGATGTGGTTTACTACGCTAGTTCCAAAACAATCCACCATCGATACAAACGAATAGAAGTGGAGCACTGCGCTTGTTCGTGCTAAATTGGCAGTCTTCCAGTGTATAACATAGTACCGTTTGGGAACCACTGAAATATGGATTAGACTAGTCCGAATCAACTTCAATAGGCTAGTATCGTAGGCATATTAACAAAATTTAAGAAACCAGATGCTAAATATCAACCTGAAATCGTGCTGATAACGAATAGAATCAACCTTTAAAATGTGCAGGCCAATCTCCAACTTTGTTTAACCAGGCTAATAAGAAAAATGTACATCGGCTCGAATGATAGAAGTAGAACCGTAAATCCATCTATGTTTGCATCAACTGTATGTAAATATCGAGATGGAACCCAGCCTACCGTTAGTTCCGAATGACTGAATCGCTGGCAATGGTACAATATACAGATTGCAGTCAAAGTTTAGACACACGAGAGTTACACACACGGAATCATGAGGCAATTTAGTTCAAATGCGAACAGACTGCCGACTGTCGATTCCTAGTACATATACGCCGTTTTCCTTATTCCCAACTGCGCGCCTTCATTCTTGATTCATTTCTTGTTCTTTTCTCCTCTCTTCAGGGCAAAATTCGTACCTGATTTTCAACCAACTGACGAGGCAAATGCACCCTTACATCCACTTCCGGTACCACCAGATGGCAAATACTCACCTCCATCGCCTGAGGAAGCAGAACGAATTATTTCCAATTTACTACCAAGGTATGTAGCAAAAGTGAAAGAGCACATGAAGCGTCTCGTTTTTTTCCTGCTATAAGAGTTATTTACTTTTTCCACCAAAGTTAACGTATTCCTAAGTCGCCGTTGAAATTATATGGCCCCACAGGCGCCAAGTCGGAGGCATGGCACTTTTGGCCCCCTCGATAATTTTTAGAAGTTGAAATTATTTTGCATACCTTTTCAATTGTTTTTATTATGGCCATTCGAAAAAGGTAGTCATATCTATTCTTAAGTCACGCTGAAAGCATTTATCTTGTGTGTTTGCAAATATCTGCCATTGTAATTGCAACACTTTTTTAAATATTTTTTCCATACAATGTTTTCGCATAAAATTGATTTTTTTTTATATGAATTACTCCAAAAAAAACGATTTCATGTCATTACTACGTCAGCATACATGATACAGCAAATATTTTGAGCTTTAACTATTCTTGTGTAATATTTCATGCGTGAAGTTAACGATTAACATAGTTGGAGATGCTTATTTATTTATTTATTTATTTGTATTTTGTTGCTTACGACTTATATCTTTCTTCTGTTACATCAATTATCTCAAAGTGGTTTGCCACAAATATATAACAATAAAAAATAATTAATACGTAACACTAATTGAACTACATTTACTACTCAGCTAAAATGCTTATTATATCCTCTTTTAAATGCTGTTAACGGATTATGATGGAAATATGAAGGATCTCCAATGCATTATATTGAATGTATAGCATGGTTTGTTTATTTACAAAATTGGTATAAAATGGTATGATATTTAAATTTCAATGTACCTTTTCCAATGCAACTTCAAATGTTTATTAACGCTAGGTTACCAATTTTTAGAATGAAATGTAATATCGCTTTAGGGCAAAAACGAACATTATACAAATTGATAGATATTTCAAATGTCATTAAAAGTCGACATTAGCCATTTATTCTAAAAAACCGAGGTTTTAAATAGCGTTTAGGATTCTCCCCGTTCACTTAAACTTCATAGTGGCTGATGAGCAGACGTAGAATAGAAAAAAAAACCATAAGATTGAAATTTGAAGACCCACACGCCAAGTTTAAAATATATTTATGTATGCCAAAGTTGATGGGGGCGACCCCGGCGTAGTGGTTAACATCCTTACCTCTCACGCCAAAGTCACGAGTTCAAATCTCACCCCCGGACAAGTCACGAATGACCCAAGAGTGTTAAAGTGACTATAATAATAATAAAAAAAAATATATATATATATATATATATATATATATATAAAGTTGATTTATTTAGTATGGTTACAGTCGAAAAACCCTAATTTTCAGCAAAAAAAATTCATAAATCTACTTCTTTTCTTCAAGATCTACCACCGATTGCTAGTCATGACTACATCAAACTAGGGGAACAGGATTTTTTAGTAATCAAAGGAACACATCTTAGTCCTTGTTACTTTTTATGCCTTGTTGATAGTGACAAGACTGGGCTTTGTCCACTGAGGATGGTTTTGAAACAAGGAAAAAATGAGTTAGTCAGTCTTCATCTATGTAATTCCTAATCTTCTATTCGTTGTTCCATAGGTTGAAGTAGTTAAGACTAAGGTTCTGAGCATGGTCATTCGCGGTGTCATTTCTTAATTTTGTTGCTAAAGAATGACAAGGGTTTTTCAACACTCCGAAGGGTACAAATAGCGGGACCTTTCAATTAGAGTCGGATCCTTGCGATAAATGCAAGAATGACAACTGTAAAAAAATCGATTACTTCATTATTTCTCAATAGTGATGGAGTAATACGACATGCACTAAACTAAAGACACGGGATATACTACAATAGATCAAATTACTGGTCGCAGTCGTGTTAGGTCCCAAACAGAGGAATAAAATAAAGGGTTGTGTCCTATACACGACCGCAGTATGACGTAGAACCACGCAAAATTGATGTATGTCATGCATTTTTGGCAATTATACTTTATCTTATATTTTTCAAGTATTTCAATGTTTCGGTTATGGTTCACTTTTTTTTTCCTTAATTTGTTTTCCGTGCTGAGCACCAATGCTACCGACGCCAGGGAGGCAGCTTCCTCACCTGGACCCATAAACTCATAAACCGGTTTGGCACATATAACTTTTCCGCGTTTCGGTTTAGTGAAACGGGACCCATGGCTCATTCCTAATTGTGAAAGGTGATCACGCCGTCCACCTTTTGCCGCTGAGAGTGTACCCCATTTGGCATAAATACGTTAGGCATACGGACGTTAGGCATACGGACGTTAGGCATACGGACGTTAGGCATACGGACGTTAGGCATACGGACGTTAGGCATACGGACGTTAGGCATACGGACGTTAGGCATAATGGACGTTAGGCATAATGGACGTTAGGCATAATATACGTTAGGCATAATGGACGTTAGGCATAAAATACCTTGCTGCTGTGCAACTCTAGAAACCTGTTTCGAGCATGGTGAACAATGCTTAAATTAGGCTCATCGTTGAATAAAAAATTATACAAGTTAAACAAACATAGTTTGGAATCCATTATTTATCATATCATAAGTGACGTAGCTACACATTAACTTAGATCCAAGATTAGTAGCGATAGCGGTTGAGTAATCTGACAATGAAAACTCAGCATAGTTTTGAACTATATCTTGAAATCAATCGCATCTAGAAATAAAAAAATCACACATTTGTTGTAATATATTCTTACACGCATATTGCAATTGTCAAAGAAGAAAAGGTTTGTCATGAAATGGTCATGAAATAAAGAATGGTGAATACTGTGATTTTTCATTCAATAACAAAAAAAAACAGCTTAGGTTGAATAAAATATGATGTCAAAGAACAGCTCATGAAATGAAGAATGGTGAATTCTGTGGTTTTTTCAATCAATAAAAAAAAACATACCTGCTGCTTCCAGTATTTCCTGCCATACTTTTCGATACAACGATTCTGTTTTTGTTGTCATCAGAATGGAAACTAGCGGAACCGTCTGCTGATGTGAGGGAGCGATACTTCCATGAACAGTGACGAGTTGCCGAAACAAACAAGGAACTGTGGCAAACGTACCATCTGTAACCCAATATTTTGCCTGTCCAAGACGTCGCAAGTTTTCATGAGTTCTAAAAATTAAGGCTCTTTCATTCTTGTCACCGAAGTCAGCAATCAATAGACGGTCCCCATTATCATCCTTCTGGAATTCATCGGGTAGGTTATGCCTAACGTCCATTATGCCTAACGCCCTTAATGCCCAACGTCCATTATGCCTATCGTACATTATGCCTAACGTCCGTATGCCTAACGTCGTGTACCCGAGGTACCAGATATGTTTTACAGTCAGTTGTTGGTAATTCACCAACATAATAGAATGTATGCCTTTTTTAAGCATTTTTTTTCTTAAATTTGAAAGTTTTGCTGGTAAGCGGGTAAAAAATTAACGGAATTTAACTTTTGCTTTTACTTATGATTGTAATTTGCTTATAATTTATTTCGCAGAATAAAGTGATAAGTCCATGCCTTTTTCGGGTTGTCGTTTAAGGCGGGGGAGGGGAGGGGGTGTTTTGCATGTATAACTTTTCCAAGTTCCTCATTTCCTCATTGTGATAGGTGGTCACGCCATGATCCACCTTAATCCGCTGACTTGCTCCTGCTTGCTGCAGGACCAAGTGCCACGCCGTCCGAAGCGGTAATGAGCAGTGGCATGACAGCAACGCTGTTTTATATCTTTCAGATTCAAGCAGAATGATGTACAACCAAATGGTACTCGATTATGACGACTGGGTTAGGGAAAATCGTTTATTTCATGAAAATAGAGATAAAATTATCATTTGTACATTTTTCAAATATTTTTTGTGGAAAATTGAAAACAATATTTATTTCAGCAGAATCGTAATGTAACATCCTATCGATTGGCGTAGTTGGATTTTGTTTTCATCTATAAATTACAAAACCTAACACTATTTCACCACACATTTTTTTGATTTGCACCCCAGTATAGTCGACAAAGACGTAGTTCTACGTCAAAAAATGGTGTTCGGATGTTACGCTATAACTCAAAAACGGATTGACGGATTTGCAAGAATCTTTTTTTATTTTGTTCATCTTTAGCCCCGACTTTTTTTATATCATACGTCGTTTGCCGGGTAAGCTAGTGCTAAATAAAATAGGACTTCCAAATTTTTGCTGTAATTTCAATTTGGTAGCAAATATTTATTATGTAGATTATGTTTGCAGAAGCCGATATTTTGATTATAGTGCAGATATAATTCTGATGAATTTAATTTTTTTCTAGAATTTATTATTTTTGGTTTTTTCCACTTGTACAAAATGCATCATGTCATATAAAAAAATATCGATTCTCAACGATGCCCCAACGTAAAATTTATTGTTTATGCCAGTTGTTATACCATTCACAAATTTTAATTGCTAATAGTGCTGAGACTCTCCGGATATCCGGGAACGGAAATACGGATAATATCCAAAATCCGGATCAATCGGATATCAAAAAATTACCGGATATCCGGATATTTTCTGATATTGTATTTATTAAAATCATCAAAAAATCATTTCTAACACTGAATTACTATGTATTTATGCTAAGCGCGAACCTAATGAATCACTTTGCAAGTAACAAAACTAGCTATGATTTTGATTACAGTTTTAGTAATACCGGCAAAAGAGAACTTTTTTATTTCAATTCACAAGCTACTTATTACATAATATTATGATTAGTCACAAGGAACTCTGATCACTCTTTTTACTTCCACAGATCGATTGCTTTCTACGGGGTATTCAAATGTTCTGTCAACACAGTAGGAAAACAGTATGACATTTCCAAAAACTCACCCTGTGCCGTAAGTGCCATGGTGTGGGGTCACGGAACCAAAATTTGATACATGCCAGCTAAATGCATGAATTGTGATGATTCCTCTCACACAAAGGACGCCTGCCCTGCGAAGGAAGTTTAAGTAATTTAAATGTTCAAATTGTAGGGAGTGTAAGACTGTAAGAGTG